CAGAAATTTCAGGTCTATGACTTCCAGGCTCTTCTGTGTTGATGTCTGCTGGGATTGTTTTGGGTTGTGTGCAGGTCTGGGATTGCATTTTGCTTGTTTTGTCATTTTTGAAGATCCAGAGGCTTCCTGGAGTGCAGCCTCACTCTCCTGATTGTGTGTGAGTGGCAGGGAGAGTCTGCAGATCCACAGTGGTCCGTGCAGCCCCTGTACTGGTGAGTGTTGGCAAGGTGGGGTCTCAGATGCTCCAGACCTTTCTTGCATTCAGTTGGCTCCCAGGTGTATGTGGGAAGGGTGAGGGAACCTCGCCAGAGTTCCTGAGACTGTCTGGGGCTCGGCCTAGCTTCCACAAGAGTGGTGGGGATGCAGGTTGTGTTCACCGAGGCTTCAGATATTACCCAGGACACAGCCTGCTTCCCACACAGGAAGGGGAAGGTGAGGGTGGACTCCCTGAGGCCACTGAGTCTGTCCAGGTTTCAAATGAGCTCCTGGGGGGTTGCAAGTTGTTCTGGCAGTGACCACCAAGGCCCCAGAAGTTGCCCAGGGGTCCAAGTGCCTTACACACTAATGGGGGAGGCACCAGAGTGGCTCAGCAGGGTTCCTAAAGGTGTCTGACACTCAGCCCAGTGCCCCTAGACACACTATGAGTGTGGCCAGTAGCCCCCGAGGCCCCAGAGTGTGCCTGGGGTTCTGACTGCCTTGCATGCTGGTCAGGGAGGCGCTGCTGCGCCTCACCAGGCTTCCTGAAGATGTCGGGGATTCAGCCCCACCGATGTCCCATGTCTGGGTTTCTGCCTGGTCCCAAGCTCAAGTGTGGGGCCGGCAGCAGCTCACCTGGGTTTCTTATTTTTTGTTTTCGTTTTTCTTCTGGTACCAGTAATCAAACTCACGACTTTGTGCTTGCCAGACAGGTGCTTTGCCGCTGAGCTAAATCCCCAGCCCCTCATCTAAGTTTCTTAATTTTCTTGTGTAGATTCTTAGAGGTAAAATATCTTGGTCATGTCATACATATGTTTTTATATATTCCTACCTTATAATATAGAGATGTATAGGCCTTTACCTCACTGTGTGGCCCAGGCTGCCCTCAAATTCACAGTTGCCTTAGCCTCTTGAGTGTTGGGATTACAGTTGCATGCCACCATGCCCAGCAAAAAAGTGATATCTAAACTAAAAGCTGAAGAGTAAATTATCTAAGTTAAGTTAGTCTGGTATGAGTTATAAATAAAAGGGAGAAAATTTTACATTTAAAATTATACTTGGACTAATTTCTACTAGTTCATTGAAAGAAATGGTTTGTGCTTATATTGTTTGATTAATTTTGAATGCCTATATCTTGTAATCTGAGCAACTACTTTGAAGATAACAATATGCAATGTATTAACCATTGTTAATTGGCTATTATCTTGTTTTGAAATTGTTTTTGTTTTTTTGCTTTGTTTTGTTTTGTTTTTTGGTACCAGGAATCAAACTCAGGCCTTTGCACTTGCTAGGCAGATGCTGTGCCACTGAGGTATATCCCCAGCCCTGAAATTCTATATCATTGTTTTTATTGTTTTTCTCTCTTTAAAATAAAAAAACCTGGATATCCTGAATAATCTTTGTTCTAAAAATTAAACATTTTAATTAAATATAAATACAAGTGTTAAAAACCCATTAATAGACTAACAAAAAAGTAGAGTACCTAGGAGAAGAGGGAGAAAAGGAAGAGGACAAGGAGGAGAAAGAAGAAGATGGATAGGAAATCTTATTAAAAATAGTTGGGATCAGGGGTGAGGGTGTAGCTCAGTGATAGAACATTTGCCTAACATGCCCATGGCCCTGAGTTCAATCCCCAGTACCTCAAAAAGAAATCAATCAGTCCAAAATTAAGCAAGGTAGAAAACTGGCTTTCCTCTTGATACCATAAACTCAAACACTGAAACTGTATTCATTTACTTTATACTACCTTGAGTACATGCAACAAAAGATAAAGCATAAAAGTTTCTCAAGGTGTGAAATTTACTTTATACCACCTTGAGTACACCCAACAAGAGATAAAGCATAAAAGTTTCTCAAGGTGGTGGCACAAGCCTGTAATCCCAGCACTCCTGAGGCTGAGGCAGGAGGATTGCCATGAGTCTGAAGCCAGGCTCACCTACACGGTGAGTTCAAAACCAACCTGAACAACAT